AACACATCCACGCCCCGTCCCCTCGCAGAGATCCAGATGGGCGCCTTCTACCGCTACGGCAAGACGTTCTACGACATGATGATGGAGGAGGTCTACCGGGGCGCGCTCAAGACGGAGGCGGATATGATCGCCTTCATCAAGGCGCACGTGCCGGGCGGCGCGAAGCACTCCGTGAGCGTGAGCCTCAGCGTGACGGCGCGCGACTGGGAGTGCGCCAAGGTGCTCTTCGGCATGCTGCTCGTCGCCATGGTCGAGTCGTCGCTGCCGATCACGGTCGACAACCTGGCGTCGACGGGAACCTGGCGCAAGTTCTACGCGTGGGCGCTCAACCCGGCCTGCTCCATGGACGTCGCCGTCCTCCACTACCACCTGCGGATTTCGATCCGCTACCACCTCGTCTTCGACCTCCTCGTCTTCAAGGACGAGCGCGCCGCCGCGCTCGTCACGCGCGACGAGAAGCGCAGCCGGGGCAGCGGCGCGCCCCACGTCTTCAGCCTCGAGGGCAACTCCATGCCCCTCTACGACGTCCTCAAGGAGCTCTACGTCGGCTAGTTGCACCCGCGTCAGGCCATCCCCCCCGAACTAAGAGGGCCTTTCTACGACTGCTTCACGGCAACAATCAGTCAAGATGCAGTGCTCGCTTCTCGGCACACACAACTCGATGGCCCCACCACCATCGTCCTCGGCGGCACTCGCGCAGCTCTGGCTGTTCGCGCTGTGCGCGGCGCTGTGCGCGACCGTCGACGGGCTCTCCGGCGGCGCCGTGGGGCCCGGCGACGTGCTGGGGATGGCGTGGTGCTGGGCAGCCGTGCTGAGCGGCGGGTCGCCGGCCGTCGTCGGCGTGGCCGCGGGAATGCGCTGCGCGATCGTCGCGGCGCGGCTGCCCCGGTGCCTCGCCTTCGAGTGGATGTGCCTCCAGAGCGACGCGGTCGTCGCCTTCGCGTGCCTGCGCCACTGCCGGGACGCGGGGCGCGCGGCGGCCGCCGCGCGGTCGCTCGTGCGGCGGCAGTGGGCCGTGTTCTTCGGCGCGGCGGCGTTCTGGAAGCTAAACAGCGCCTACTTTGACGCGCGGACGTCCTGCGGCAGCTTGCTGGGCCTCGAGGTGCTCGCGCTCGCGTCGCGGGCGACGCGATTCTACTGCACGGAGCCGGTCGTCGCGGCCGTCGCGCGCTTCGCGCCGCACTGCGTCGCGGGCCTCGAGGCCACCGTCGCCGGGCTCCTCGGTGCGACGGCCTTTGGCGCCGCCGACGATGGCTGCGGCCGCGCCGGCGCGCGCGTCGCGCTCGGCCTCCTCGTCGTTCGATGCCTCGCGCGTCCGCCC